AGTGTTTATGCCCAGAAAAAATACATTTTTAAAGAAAGCAAAATGTTTGTTCCTGTCGTTATATAGGTAATGGACTCATACCTTTCTAGAGGTCATTAATGCCTTATGTCTTGCCTATCTCACACTGCGAATTTTTTCTAAGCTCTATACTAAACATTAAATCTGTAACGAAAAAAGAACTAAACAAAATGAACACAAAACGATCAGCATTAAAAAAAGGACTCCTAACTGGAAAAACCGAATGAAAAAAGAATGTTAACAACTATTACTTTTTCACACCCAACCCAGTTCTGCGGAATCAGAATCAACGTTGAGTTTAAGCAAGCGAATGAGCCAATTGGAGTAAAGTGCCATGCAGATTTAAATTTTTCCCACTTGTGACGAATGCAGCTATCGATTTTTTTTGCATGCTAGCATGCTAGTTAACATTCGTGTCAGTCAGCTGTTCGCTCTCGCGCTGGCCAATAGAATCTTCCTGCCTATTCGTGGCAGCCAGCTATTGGCTCTCACTTTGGCCAGTACAAAATGGCCGCAAACTACATGAAAACTGCCGTAGAAGCATGAAAAAATGGATTATTTCCACTATCAATAGGAGTTGGGAAATGCAAAGTCGGTCTTGGCCTTCTCGCTAACTTATAGCATGTGCATGTAAATTTTAATGAAACCAGAGACTCTACAGGAGACGCAAATACTGAACAATTTACAAAAAAAAATTCTGTTTCTCAGTGTTTATGCCCAGAAAAATACATTTTAAAGAAAGCAAAATGGTAATGGATTCATGCCTTTTCTAGAGGTCATTAATGTTAACTCTTAACTCTGTTCGACGATTCTATAGTCTCGTACATAAACTATTATGTCGCCCACGCGTACAAGGGGGACAAATAAAAATATCGTAAATGGCGGCGTACACTTTGAGTTTTGAAACCTAAAATATATCCCACTAAAACTTGTGTTTGGTGAACATATTTGGCATTAACACATATATTAATGTAAATAATGAATACTAACACAAATTCAGTATTCTACAACACTCATTGCGTCCAACAGCTGATATACTAACCCTAAACACAGACCGAAGCGTCGTTTTACTCCGTTGGCCATTCGGACCAGGGATGGTATGCATTTCATCTGTGCAATTTCATGATAGTAATGACGGTTTAATCACACACAACGGCATTTTATTGAATATATACACACCGTAAAAGCATTGATACAATTCATATAGAAAGATATTACGGTTAGTGTCTCAATATACAGGTAAGTGGTGTGACCTTATGTAGTTTTAGTACATGTTATCGTATACTGTAGCTTAAATTCATTTACCAGTAGGCCTATGTTTTGGGCCACTAGTAGCCTACTGTATGTTTGGAGATCGACTTATACGGTAGGTATAGGCCGAGCAAGAATTTTGAGCTGTCAGCTTGTACACCAGGTCGACTTGTACGCCAAGTTGACTTGTACGCCAAGCCGACTTGTACGCCACAATTTACGGTAGGTAAAAATTACTTGGCATCTATTCGGAGTTCTCTGTTTGTAAAGCAGTATATATTACTAGTATTTGATGAGTTTTTAATTTTCATCATATTTTTGTTTCGCTACCTTTAGGTTGTTTTTTAATGTCCGATGACCAACAAACACTGCCAGAAAAAAAGCAAAAAAAAGAATGAAAAGAACTAGCCAAATAATAACAATGATAATATAATAATGCCACCTTCAATGTATATATATATATATATGTGTGTGTGTGTGTGTGAAAAGTGTATATAAATATAAATAAATATATATATATGTATAATTATTTATATATTATATGCGCGGTACTTATTAGAAAGCGCTCAATATCAGAGATAGAGCTAACATGTTTGGTTGGATAGATGTGAGTTTGTGACCCTGGGTTTCACGCTTTAGCGATCGTCATACAAACTCTGACGATCGCTAAAAGCGTGAAACCCAGGGTCACAAACTCACATCTATCCAACCAAATATATATATATATAGTATCAGAAAATCACATGATTTGTTACATAGAAAGTATTTAGAAGGAATCCTAATAAATATTTTCCTATCAATAAACACACGCCAAACAGAATATGTTATATCACCAACTATTATAAAATCCATACTTAAAGAATCTAAAAGACCAGTCTACCTACAACCACAACCGGTGTAACCTAAATTCTTTCACTCCTACACAAAACATACCCCAATCAGCAACACGGATACTACCAGACAGAAATAAAAATTCCCACAAACTCACACACGTATATACACACACACACGTATAAACCAAAATTCCGCATAGAACAAGTAGAATTACGATAGACACAATGAATTATACACACAAACGCTAACAAGACACCCGACTTCTACCTAATCAATGAAAAACAAACAACTGAAAAATAAAAATACTAGAATGTTCTTTTCTCCTCCATATTACATTTTCTGATGTAGATTAAATAATATGGAAACCTGTTCAATTTATAAACGTTTCCTATTTGCTCATTATCATTCCGTTGAATTCAAATCCATATTTAATTGAAATTCATATATATATATATATATTATTTTAAGATACGCTATATTTATGAGTAAGTGTTCAATTTCATGTATAGAGCGCATATAAATATAAAAGTGGATACTGATGTCAACCCCGAGCGGCGACAGTTTGTTTCAGGCTTGAGTACAATCATTGGGACACACACACACACAGACACAGACACACACAGACACACACACACACACATATATATATATATATATATATGAATAAATGTAGTTTTAAGATGTGCTATATTTATAGGATAAAGTGCACAATATCAGAGATAGAGCGAATGTAAATATAAAAGTGAACACTGGAGTCAACCCTCAGAAGCGACAGGCTGTTTCGTACTAGACGCACTTGAAACAAATCATTGTGTTGGTTTTCTGACAACTACATCTAATTATTTCCACACATATCCGGTTACTGCAAATAATTCTACGAAACAATATCAACTTCATCTTGTCACTTGGAATGTACAAACTCTCCAGGACAACAACTCAGCACCAGAAAGAAAAACAGTTCTGATCGCATTGGAGCTAAAGAAGTACAATATTGATATAGATGCACTGAGAAGTAACCATCAGTCGACTACATGAAACGAGAAATCAAAAGAAGACATTTAACAGTGTTCCTGCTGCACTTGGATACAATACATTCTCCTGTATTGTTTGTGGTCTTTTGATCAATTCTCGAACCGGCCTCAAAAGTCATGCCATCATAGGCATACAGATAATTAGTTCGTGGTCGTCGGAATCTCATACGTCGAACTCGACGGGAGAGTCCATCATATATATATATATATATATATATATATATATATATATATATATATATATATAATCCTTCACCAACAGTACGACTCGGACTTCTATGCACAACGCAATCTTCAGGTGCTGAGTATAGACTGACCGTTACATAATTTAAATTTTAATAAAATATCTGATTATCACAATGTTGGCGCAGTTACATATTATACTAGGATTGGTTTTGTAATTTTAAAAAAATATATTTTATATTTAAATAAACGAGTTGTGCTATCGGTATGGGATAATATGTATATTTATTAATATATACTTAATAGCACTCTTTTATTACACTGTTTTGTTAACACCAGCTCTATATGTGCGATATATATATATATATATATATATATAGGGTGATTGGAAAGTGACTCCCCATTTTAAAATACTTATAATTTATTTATTAACGATATTTTTTTTACAAGATATGGATATGAGTGGAAAGCGTTTAGCATGAGTTTTTATTTACAATTCGATATGAACACCAGATTTTGCTATCAGCTTCTCGAGTCGGTCAGGAATCGCGTCATCTGATTTCACCAGGAACTCTTGTGGCATGGAAGACATAACTTCTTATATTCGCACTTCAAGTCTTTCCAAAGTTTTGGTTTACTATAGTAGACTTGCTTTTCTAACCAACCCCAAAGAAAAATGTCACAGGGTGTTAAGTCAGGACACCTGGCTGGCCACTCATGCATAAAATAGGGAGTTACTTTTCACACACACACACAGACATACACACACACACACACATACACACACACATACATATACATATATATATATATATATATATATAGATAGATAGATAGATAGATAGATAGATAGATATATAGATATAGATATATGAAGAAAAATATACGGAAAAAACAAACAAAAATCCGAATATGCAATTATGCTGTTTTAATGTTAATATAATGTCAACGTCGGACGTTTCGGTCTAGTAGACCATCTTCAGGACATATTCATAAAACATAATTAACATTAGACTATATTCAATTCAACATGAAAAGACGATGGACAGTAAGACTTAATTTTTTCAAATCAAAACAGATAACATTCAAATATTAAATAGATCGCGTCAAATGTTTTTGATCGTTTTCCATATTTTTCTATTGCATTGTTTGAATCTATATCCATATATTTGCTTACATATATATATACATATATATATGTACCAATCCTAACTCTATTTTATGGTAACATTAAATGTAAATGGGGTTTTATATGGCACCATATACGTTATCTTTCTATTGTACTCCCCCTGTTCCTTTGCATTTGTTTCTTGTCTTTCTCCCCACATTGCTCTTTCTTACTTTTATTTCTTTTTTCTTTGACCTTTTCAGACCTTTCTTTTTTCTTTCGCTCTCTCCTTTTTTTTGTCCTTTCAGTCGTACTATTCTTTCTTTCTCTCAGTCTTTTTTTCATCCTCTTTTTGTTTAATTAAAATTGCCATTATTTTTCTTTCTTTTCTTTTAATCTTTCTCAATAATCATTCCATTATTTTCTGTCTTTTCTCTCAATCAATTGTTTTTCTTACTCTTTTCTTTCTGTCTATCTTTCACTTTTCTTCCTAATAAACACTGTCATCATTTTCTCTAAATCCATACTTTCTTTCTCTCAGTCTATTTTTCTTTCGTTTTTTTCACTGTTTTCTTATGCCAATACTTTCCAACTTTGTTTTGACTCCTTTTTTATATTTCCTCAACAGTTCTCGTGATGCATTTCTTTCTCCTCTTTCACTTATATTCCTTTTTTCTTTCTTTTTTCTTTCTTTCTGTCTATTCTTTCTTCCTTTAATTATTTTTCTTTTTCCTTATGACATTGTTTTCCGACGATGTTTTGACATCTCTTTTTTATATTCCTTCAACAGTTCTCCAGATTCATTTCTGTCTCCTCTTTTATCTTTCCTTCTTTCTTTAATTTCTTTCTTTCTTTTTCTTTCATTTTATTCTTTCATTCTTCAAATTTTTCCTTATGTCATTTTTTCCGACTTCCTTTTTGACTTCATTTATTTATCTTTCATCAGCACTTCTCCAGATTCATTTCTGTCTCCTCTTTCATCTTTTCTTCTTTCTTTCCTTCTTTCTTTCTTTCTTTCTTTCTTTCTTTCTTTCTTCCTTTTTTCTTCCAATTTAAACTTTCTTTCCTCTCTCTACGTTTTTTTTTTCATAATTAAAACTGCCATGATATTTTCTTTCCTCTGTTCATCTCTCTTACACGCAGAAGCAACGAATGGATTTTGTAACAAGGACGAACCTTTAATTGAATCTTATTAACAATGCAGCATATGAAATGGATACTTATTGTGTTTCTCACATCTCTTGACGCCTTCGTATGTACGTGTTTGGGCATGTGTCCCCCACTACCATCTTCATCACCCCACCACCATCAGTTTCCCCTATCATCATCATCATCATCATCATTAATGTTGTTACAAGAAGAGAATCAAGTGCGATCAGTGATATTAGATATATTTACTTATTGCTTAGTTTCCTACATCAAAATGGAAAAAGGGGAGAAGATGGTATTGCGCCAAATTTTTCAAGTAGGTAAGAGAGCCTGTCTATTTGCCTTGAAAGTCGCCGACCACTAAGAGAGATACAGAGAATTGAATTAGGGTAGACGTTTGAATATATCCAAGGTGGTACTGAAAAGTTCTCAGTCCCACCAAAAAGATATTTGTTTTCAATTTATATATTTTTTTAATTTAATTTTTTTAATTTTACCAGGTTTGGGGGAATTGGTCATGCGGAAATATGTGCAATTCTTTTCATATTCTTCCATTAGTTTTTTTTTTTTTAACTCTGTCGTTAAAAAAAGTTATATATTTAAGTAATTTTGCAATCGGGTTTTACCGATAAAATCTCAAAAACTTTATGTTCAATCCATTCTAAATATTAAACAAGATAATATATATTCTATTCAATATTTTACATATATATATAGAAAGAGATAGATAGATAAATAATATTAGTGTTCAATATACATAGTCATCAACAGACAGACTGTTCCGCTGTATCACAGCTCAGCAGTGCGGCTTGACATCCGGTTGCTTCTAGCTAGGATCGAAACCCGATTGAATTGGCGTCAATCGAGGATTCTGCCACTAAGCCGTTGGCGCACGGCAGGGATGCAGGTGAATTTTAAGTGTATTTATTTTTAGATAAACACCCAGTGACTGAGAGAACTCAATTCGATTTACCGAAGAGTCTTGAGTTATTAGCCGTAATAGTCACTGTTTACAAACTCACACTTCCTCCCAGAGAGCTCAACCAAAATAATTTTTCAGGACACACACACACACACACACACATATATATATATATATATATATATATATATATATATATATATATATATATATATATATATATATATATATATATATATATATATATATATAAATTCCAAGAGGATAGAATCAGGTAGAACTCAATGTCCAGGATAGAGTAAGAATATAATATAAAAGACTCAAACACAGCTTTTTTTATTATATATATATATATATATATATATATATATATATATATATATATATATATATATATATTTTGTGTGTGTGTGTGTTTAAACATATATCATTTAAAAAAGTTTGTCTAGCAACAGAGCGAACTGAAATTTAATTAAATGCGGCTTTAAAACAATTTTTCTACTATATTATTGAAAGGCATCATATTATATATATATATATATAGAGAGAGAGAGAGAGAAAGAGAGAGAAATAGAGACAGGTAGGTAGACAGACAGATAGATATATATATATAGATAGATAGATAAATAGACTAAGTCCGACAATTGTTTTAATATATTTTATTGCTATAAGTTATTTATATAGACACAATATTTAAGTAAATGCTCTGTTTATAAGAAACAATATTAACAACATTTACTGGCCTGAATGCCCGAGAAATTACACTGAAAATATGCGTCCTCCGACAGGAATCGCACCTGTATCCTACACGAAACCGTTATATATCAAATCTTGGGAAATTTGTAGTTTAAAAAGCATTTAATCAACATTACGGATCAGACAGCTTCCTTCGAAGCTAAACTGGTATACAGGCTATATGCCGGTGCCGTTTAGGATACAGGTTCGATTCATGTCGAAAAGCGACTACTTTCTATGAATATTCTCGGACATTCAGGCCGGTAGATGTTGTTAATAACGTTTCTTATAAACAGAGCATTTACTTAAATATTTGTTTCTATATAAATAAGGTAAACAATAATATACAAAGAGAGAGAGAGAGTTCGTGCAAAATTTTAAACACTTAGAATTTTGGAGGTATACATTTATTCATTAAAATATTTTTAAACTTCATTATTTATTATTGTTCTTTTTACCTATATTTTTATCCTTTTATTCAAACTTCAAAATGAATGATGTTCATTTATTTTATTTTGCAGAAGCTAAAATTTGTTAATTTTGTCGAAAGAAGGTTTAGAGTTCATTAGAGTAAAGAAACACTGTACAAGAATACCAGATACATGTCGATGAAAAACATTTGATAAGGCATTGTCTGGCAGACTATGTTTATATAAAGAAAGTTTAGCATCCAAAACCGAAGTTTATAATCACCCGATATATATATATATATATATATATATATATATATATATATATATATATATATATATATATATAAAGTAAATGGTCGCTTTATTTATAAACAGAGCATTGACTTAAATAGTTGTATCGATAAAATAATGTATAAACAGAAAATATATTATACAGCTGTAGGAGGTCTATTTAGTCTATTTATATATATATATATATATATATATATATATATATATATATATATATATTACGGATTACCCATACAGTTTATCCTTAGGTTTATCCTCCTTAGGTTTATCCATACGGATTACCCAGTTTTTCATAAACTAATATATATATATATATATATATATATATATATATAATATATATATATATATATATATAATATTATAAATATATAAAGTCTTATATATATATATATAATATATATATATAACATTATATATATAAAAATACACACATATATATGTATATATATAAAATATATATAATATTATATATGTATAAATTATATATATTTAATATTATATTGAATATATAATATATATATAAATATATGTATGTGCCTATATATAGATATAGATATATATTCACATATATAATTGTTATATATATAATTTTATATATACATATACATAAATTAAAAAAAAACATATATCATTATGGTGATTTTCTTTCGTCTTTCAATGATAATGTTATTAAGCTTATCAGACAATATGAAATTTAAAATAAATAAACAAATCTTGTCTATATTATTTAATGAAAAAAGCATCAATATATATATATATATATATATATATATATATATGCGCAGGGTGCTATGGATAAATTGTCGTCTAAATTACACAAAAATGAAAATAAAACCGATATCCCATTTTAACCGATATATTTACCAAATTTCCACAAAAAAATAACTTGAAATACAAATGTGTAAATCTATTCAATAAAATCTTCATTGGCTACAACCACAGCCTCCAGACGACTTTGCAATCTCTTACAACCTCGTTTAAGTTGATGAATGCTGCCATAATCCTTGCCTCTAGTTCATCTTTGGAGTTACAAGGAATTTTATTCGTCTCTCGCTCAACTACGCACCACACGTAATAATCAAGGGAGCTGCAGTTCGAAGAGTTAGAAGGCCAGATATAAGGGGTTATGTGGTCGCAGAAATTGTCTGACAGCCAAGCCTGGATACTACTTCTTATGTGACAGATTCCTGTTGCCAGACTTAGGATCTTCCAGCAGCCACCCTCTTGACCCAAAGTAACACTGCCTCCTCAGGGCACATGATGTAGGCACCGTGTTGTGTCTGAGTCCCTCACCAACAAATGCGGGTGTTCTGTTCTTATCAGAACGATCAGAGTGAGTTTTTCGAACTGTCGTACCTTCGTAATCACCATTAAACTCATTCAACTCTTTCTGAATCATCTGCACTGTCCCCAGATTGAGACCAAAACATTCCGAAATGTTCGTATTAGAGCTTCCGGCGCAAATGCATGCCGTTTCCAAATTTCTGGTTGAGTGAATTGTATCATAGAGCTCTAGCTCCCGCAGATGTTGGTTAACTGACCCTACTATAGTTTTCAGTCTACAAAAACAAAGTTGTTTACACTTTGGCGAAATGACATACACTGAATTTCAAACTTCCTTATAGATGCGTTACCCTCTGAAGCTACAGGAACGCAGTTCTGGGAACGCCATCTGTTGGAAAACAGCGAGAACTTATTCAAGGTCCTAATACTTGTTAAAAAATAAAATCCTTACATTTGCTCTTGTATATAAATTCTAATAAATAATCCTTGCTATTGCACTTGTATATAAATACTTGTTACAAAATAAAATCCTTGCATTTGCATTTGCCCTGATAAAATACCTCAAAGGACGAAACGTTTCGACTATTGTCTTTATTCATACACGCACAAACACACACATTCAAAGAAGGATCTGTAATTTTGAACTGGCATTTTGACTTCAGTCACTTTCTCACCGATGTGATGTGATGTGCTTTCCTGTCACTTACAATCTTCAAAAATTTAGATGTAACATCAATCGCCATTTTCTATCTTCTTGAACCTTGCTCCTTTATTGACATTTTCATCACTTCTTCTCGCTAAAGTCTTTTCATTCTCTTTTACTCCCTGTAACACTCTATATCCTAGTGGCATGATGGTCTAAAAAAAATGTATATGTGTGTGTCTAAAAATTAACTTATAAATAAAAATATATCTGTAAAAAAACAATATGTATAAAAACAAAAGGTAAACTTTTTCTTTACCGACTCGTTTCGTCCTCTGATGAAATTTTTCAAGGCAAATATAAGGATTACATAACATGTATTTATAAACAGCACCCATAGCTCAGAAGAAGAGAATTCATACCTTTCCCAAGGATATTAGCACATAAGTGAATGTAATGGATTTAAATGGAATTCGAACTCGGCTCTCCGATTCCTCAATCCGAACCGCTATCCATTACTCCACCCTATCTATTATGTCAACTTAATTTTAAGCGCTTCTTTAATATAACTTTTCTTGAACATTATATATTCATATTATTACATCTCTTATTAGTATAAACGTTATTTTAATGGGTACACGTATTTGAATTGCTATCTCTGGTTTGTTTCTTAAACAGTGAAATTACAAACAGCGACTTTAGTTTGGGAAGTCCTACTAAAGAAAATATTGCCTCCGACAGGAAACGAACCTGATT